GTTAGAATGATTTTTTTTGTGGATCGAATCAGTCAACCAAATGATTCATCCTCGTTTCACTTTCAATGTTGAAATTCTTTTCCTTTTAATAGCTGAATACATGCGTAACCCATCTCCAGCTATGGGGTTAAATTAAAGGTCACAAGAATACGGATTCAAAGAGGTCGAATTATTCACTTGCAAGTGAATAATTCATCAGCAATGTTATTTATCTTAGTTTGACAAAATTGAACTAAATTGGCTGCTTAAAGCAAATTAGTATTTCACTATATCGCTTTCATTAATGATTGAACAAAACAAATCATATTTTATTTTTGTGTAGGTCTCGTAGCTAATGCCCCTTTAAGAAATTATAAAATGTTTGCGGATTAACAATTGTCTTTAGTTTTCTGTCATCCTTTTGTACTAAAGTTAGTTTCAATCAGGCTGACCCTCTTTTGATTTTCTAATGTGTAATAAGTGTATGATGACTCATGAGTTTAAACTGTTTTCAATTCAATGTAGAGACTTGAATAGATGCAAATTTTATATATACATCACATTCCATAAATTTCATTTCAGCAGCTTAATTGTGTGAATTACATAGCAGGCATTTTTGGTATGGAGGTGCATATACAATATGCAAAAATATGTTATTGTATTATGACAAGGATGAAGTGTTTGTCGGTATGCACCAGTATTCTCATCATCTTTAAAAGTGGGGGAAATATTAGCTATCACATGGTAGGGTTAAGAGGTCATTGCATGATAGAGGTATTGAACTGTCTTTGAAAAAACATCATCAGTTGAATAAACAATGCAAGAGTTAATAATTTCAAAATTTCCTGTTTTCTTTTCTGTAAAAAAACATCTTCGTAATTCAATTATCTCTTTGAATCGAGATCACCTTGGTTTTAAATATTTTTTATCTGACAATTATGATACAAATGCCAATGAAATTTAGCCCTTCAATCTTAACCTTTTCTTTCAGTGATCTCAACTATTTACATCATTATGTTTTATTTGGTATCCTACATTAATTTTAACAAAGCCCGAGGATGAACCAAAAATAGTAGGTTTCTATAAAAATCGATACAAACTACATATATATAGATATATGTATATAACTGAAACAGTTTTACATAATTCCACAAAGGAAAGTAAACTTTAACTAAAAAGGTGCTAATTGAGCTTATTTGTCTGATCATTACATCATAAAAACCTACATGACATAAAATTGTATTAATCCTTAATCCTGGGTAGTAAAACAGAAATCTAATCTCGACATGTTTGCTAAAAGGATAAAAACTGTAACGAATAATTCAGAATATTCCTTACTAAAAATTTCACTGAAATATGAATAATAAAGATGATAAGAACAACTTTTAATATTAAATAAATGTAATTTTATTTAAGGGAGATAATCCTCGTCAACCTTATTTCCATGGAAAGTATGCCACTTAACATTTCACTGCTGATAGTATTATTGTAATGTAAAAATGTCTTTTATTTTATTGATGTACAATTTATAAATATTTGGTATAAATTCTTAGTATTAAAGTTATTTTAGTAGAATTGACATGACTTTTGGACAAACTAGGTTGAAAACAATTTATCTTATTATTTCATATATAATCTTAAATTATTGATATCAATGCAGAGAGGGATCCAGATTTTTTGAAAGGGGGCTGAATTCCATAAAACAGATTAAATACTGCCTAGCGAAGCGAGGCGAAACATTTTTGGACGATTTTATGCTACAAAATCATATAAATCTTGAAATACATGATATAATTATTTTGGCAATCAAAGGGGTGAATGTACATCCTCTACCCCCCCCCCCCCCTCCCCCCACCCCTGGATCCGCCGCTGTCAATGTGCCATTGTTAACGGATGGCAAATAAGTTGGACAATTTCACAGAGCCTGAGGTTATTGGGTAATAAGATTTAACAATTTCTTTGTCAGTTCAAATTAAAGATAAATGAATTATTGGCAATTTCTTTCAAAACGAAAATCTCTAAACGTCTTTTGTGTCAATTGCATCGGCCCAGGGCTTGGTCAGAGTTATTCATTTTCTGCTTACCGGACAATAAGAAAAAGAAGACAATAGAGATAAATGATAATCAATAGATATAAGAAGATGTGGTATGATTGCCAATGAGACAACTCTCCATCCAAGTTACAATTTATAAAAGTAAACCATTATAGGTCAAGGTACGGCCTTCAACACGGAGCATTGGCTCACACCGAACAGCAAGCTATATAAAGGGCCCCAAAAAATTACTAGTGTAAAACCATTCAAACGGAAAAACCAACGGTCTAGTCTACTAGTATATAAAAACGAGAAACGAGAAACACTTATGAACTACATAAACAGACGACAACTACTGTAATCAGATTCCTGACTTAGAAATCTGTATCGCAAGCATGTGGTTGTTTTGTCCATACTTTTGGATCATAGCAGAATGATGTGGGTAAGACGACCAAAAGAATTTGAATATCATTATTACAGTCAAGACTATAAAAGCCCATGTTTATAAGTTGTGTTCAATTCGAACACTTCTTGTATTCTAGGTAAGGTTAAGATATTTAGAAAAACAATTATTTTCAATATAATTGTGAATAGCAAAAAAAAATGTATTTCAAACTAAGGAAAGTTTTAGATCAAATGTATTTTTATTATGATTATAACTATTTTATTATATAGGAAATAATTAATACATTTGTAATATAAATTTCATTATTATGTTTACAATTTTTTATAACTTAGAAAACATTTATCTTATGTCATCTGGTATTATTGACTTTAACTTTATTCTTCATTAGACAATTCGAACACTTTTTGTATTCTAGAATTTCCTGTTGCCAATTCTGGCCTTTCTACCCATCGATTGCGAGTTTGTGTCCCCCCTTTATTGTGGCATAGGTCAATGTGATAGTTTGGGCTGCATTCAACACATAAGTATTGTCACAATAGAATGATGTGAGGATGTTAAGAGCTTCAGAAAAACCATCAAAGGCTGGCAAAACTCCAATAAATTACACCAAAGAGTCACAACATCAAAAGTTAGACAATGCTTTACAACATTTGAATCTCTTACCAGAAGATGAAGTAGTTCAATTCAATATACAAACACAACTCTCTGACTCCATTGAAGACACATATTCCATCCGCACAGGATCAGTGGAAAATTCCGCAACTACAGTATAATTTTCAATCTGAAACAAAACCAGCAGCTCTACTTGTACCTGTCTTTAATCCATTTCTACCACCTGTGTTTTCAACTCCAATAGGAACCTTGCAACCAACAAAAGTCACCAAACCTAAAATTCCGGCTTCTTTACTGGCACATTCCGAATTGGTTTCAACAAACGGACCAGCGCCGATAACGACTTTCAAAAACCAGCACCCCGTTGGTAGTCAATCCACTACAGTTTCCTGTTTTACAGACGCCATCGTACTTTTCTGCTTTAATTAGATCAAAAGGCTGGTACCGTACCAACGGCAGCAGCAGTATCAGTTGCTACAGCACCAACAACATCCACCCGGTTCCAACACTGTCGCAAATATCTGCTACTGTAATTTCGACGACATCCACAGCAACAATAGCGCCGACAACATAATTTGCAATGTCAACAGGTAGGAGAACAATAATTTCGATGAACATTTTCAATATGTCTTCCATTTTAAAGATGGAGAAATTATAACAGTTTAATGTTTGATGAAAAATCTAAACAACAAATGTTATAATCACATTTTAAATCCAACAAGCGAAGTCATAAAACTGCGCCCAGGTTTAATCATAGCAGACAGAATTATGTAACAGATAGATTTCTTTAAGTATTTGAACTAGATGAGTCTTGTGATCTGAGGGGCGTCAACCCCGAAGATATGAGACGACTGCATCTAATTTACAAAAAAACAATAAATAAATATTTTATCTTTTCTCTTGTTCTAATTAGTTTTGATAAAACAGGGAAAGTGCCATTATCTCAAATTTTCCTGATGCAGTAACACTTTCAGAACATGTTTTGTAGTTTTGGATTTGGAATGAAATCTTAATTGTGTCAATTTTTCTGTCATCAAATTAATACCTTATCAGTGCTTTTATATGGCAATATGAATTGCTGTACTATCTTGTCTTTTTCTGGTTTAATTACCAAAATCTGAATTTTTGCTTATAAATGATAAAACTTCTATGTAAATAATATCTAACGGTATCAATATGAATAATATATACGATATAATATCAATAACGCACCAGTTGCGCATTTCGACAGCTAATGTCTCTTTAGTGATGCTCGATGCCAAAACATTTAAAAATCCAAAACTTATTCAAAAATTGAGAGCTAATAAAACAAAAAAGGAGAAAAAGTAAAGCCAAAGTCGACCAAGGATGTTGACAATATTTGTTTTTCATATTCACTGTTTATTCAACAAGTTTGACCGATATAACCATACCGTGCATGGTACATTGTCAGAGGTACATTATGTAGTTGACACTTAGAGCTGTGTTGTGGGACGGATTCCAGATACAAATTTAATTGGATTTTTATCGCAACAAGAAAGGTTATATATATCATACTCAAACATGTCTGATATTAATTAAATTATATAATTAAATTCTTTAACTTTATATATATGACCTATTATGGTTTATTTAAAGCCCTTTTTATAAACACAGAAACCAACACGTTCTTGTTTACGAAATAGACATTGTATCCAGTTGGCACCTGTACACTTGACCGATCATGTTTTTTTAAAAACTTACTTATATTGATTCTCTACTAGCCACATGCAAAACAGTTCTTGACTTGTTTTATTTTAAATGGAAGGCAATACTATTTTAGCGGATTAGTTTTTATTAAGTTCTAAATACTATTCCTATTCAAACTATCAATTAGAGATCTAAAATCGTTCCTATCGCCTCGTTGAATAACAATAGGGCTTATTAAATTAATAATCTTTCTATAGTTGTTATCCAGCCATTTTACACCCATTGTTTCTGAAAATCACTGAAACAGATCATGAATTTGTATTACTAGTATTTGTATTGACGAGTTTTTATGACAGACAAAGTTATTGTTGATATCAGTGAAGGTTGGAACTCTTGCGGATTAAATTTCTGTAAATGTAAGTTTTATATGTACACTGGGAAACTTTAAATTAAAAACACTGAACTTCAAATCTGATACAATCTAACCTTCTTATTCTGAAGTTTAATGATATGAAATAGATAACTTTTTTTAAATTTATTTAATAATTGAATAATCATGAGCCATGTAAGCAAGCGCTCTTATCATTCATGCTTGTTCATCGTAACAGTTCGTACATTTTCTTTTGGATTTGTGTTAAATTTCCTTTTTTTACATAAAAAAATATATTATACCAACATTAATTACCGGCAAAGTGATGCGCTTATTTTAATTAGAAGACAGGTATTACATATAATTCTCTAACGCTAGTTATCAGTATAAATAGAAAAACGAGTATATTATGACAAAAACTCACTATACTCAATCTGTATTAGAACATATGATTTTTTTTTTAAATTTGACTAATTTAGGTTTAATGTAATGAATCCTTGTTTAGAATTTTCTATCAGTTTATGATAAGAATGTATGGCAGGCTATACTTACCGGTAGAATTATTGTAACAAAACGGGATATTTAATCCGAATTCTTACGGCAATGTTATTTCAGAGCCCGTAAACTTACAAACGATCCATGTCAACTCATTGGTCCTTGAATAAACTTATTCTTAAAGGTTATCAATTTAACACCGTAGCAAAATCTTTCAATATTGTTTTTAACGGCACTAAAATTGATATTGTTTATGATAAATTAAAACAAATATGTTATACAGTTGTGCAAACTATTTGTTCTACATCCTTTCGATACTATGTACTTATATTTTGGCATTACACAAGTTCATGCATTTTTCATACTGTTTATGACGTTTTATATTAAAATCCGTTGGGTGTGTACTGATTGCTACTTTTGTCTGTGAGAACATTACTTCTTTATTAGTTGTAACTAGCTTTTAGTAGCTGCGAGTACTCTTAGGTCGGTTCTTTGTGTCTTTTGTGTTTATGTTATTTGTTCTAGTGCTTCTTGACGATCTGAAGAAGTCAAGCTATTTGGAACTAACTTTAAAGTGTGTTCTTGTGTTGTGAAGTTACAAAACTGTCCTAGGTTATGGTGAGGGTCCTTTTGACTCTGATTGTTAGTTATCTCATTGGCAATCATACTACATCTCTTTATTTTTATATTACAGTTCAGCAGTGGCTGAGTTCGTTGCACGTCATCTACGCGTTTAAAAATTGACCACTGTGGAAATTAGTTCTCATTCAGTTAGAGTATACAGTTTATAGCATTCGGGTATTGCCCGCTCCGTCCATTTTTAACCATAATATTTTTCGTGGCTTGTTGTCCTTTCGTCGTTTTTTTTTTTTTTTGGGGGGGGGGGGGGGAGGGGGTTGCCATGGTGTTATATTTTTCTTCGACTTATTATTTTTAAATCCCCTTTGTATGTTCTCTCCAGTCTTTTTGTATGTTATTTTGTTCATACAATTTAGCGAGCAACAGTACTAGTTAGGCGTGAGCATAGTGGTAAGATGCTATTTTTCCCCGGTACAACTTCAAAATTTTACGGAACCTAATAAAGTTTTGAGAAATTTCATGCGTTTGAGGAAATAGTGTGCATGATATCACTTGACTAGAAAAAAAGCATCGTTATATATGTAACTTAGCCTTACACTTGAGTAAAAAACTATTTTTTTCCGCTTATTTCTGCTTAAGACTTGTTTCTCCCAAACGTTATGTATAGATCTATTTGACGTCTAGAGTGTATGCGGCGTTCACACATAGCCGACATAGCCGATTATTATATTCCTGAACAATATTTGATTATTGTCGTGATTCAATAAAGGTTTTCACAAATATCCAGCCACGAATCACAGGATCTTGATCCGACGTATGACAAATTTAATCGGGTATGGTCATAACAATGACGACAGTAAAAATCCTGATGTGTGATTGAGGTTTAAGAACGAACATGTATTCCAAAAGTACGAGGCGTGCGCACTAACAGCCGTTTCATATGTTCATTTTACTAAACACCTGTAAAAAAAGTTTAACTTTTGGAAATTCGTAACTTAGATTTATGTTATGGAAGATTTTGTTGAGGCTATTTTGGCATAAACTGTCAGCCAAAATAATTTCCATGTGAAGCCTTAGTGGCATACAAGGTCATTGTAGGTGGTATTTACTACCATTTCACTACAAATAATTTTGACTAATACATAAACATTTTATAATTTGTTTTTTATTTCAGACCTATATTTGCATATCATCTGCAGTACGACCTTTTGGAGTTCTAAAAAACCATTAACTTAACTGAATTATGAAACGTTAGTAAAGTATTATGGCGAGCGTAAGTTCGGCTAGACGGAGACATTCAGCGCCTGTTGTACCATTACCTACTGGAACAACACGTCGAAGTTCGGGACCCCCAAGATTACAACTGAAGAAAAAAGTAACATTAGTTAACAAGTTTGATACAGTCTTGTTCGGGAGGGATGTTGAAGTGAAAAGAGGATGCATTTTACATGATGACAAACTAATACTTTGTGGTGTTGACAATTATGTGTACATTTGTAATCCGGATGGTAAACGGTCTAATAGAATTTCAGTCCAGTTTACTCCGTCAGATATTGCTCTCTTCGATGAGAAACGCGCCGTAGTATCAGGTGAAAAAGGGTACCAGATTATTGACATTGAAACACTGAAAGCGGGACCTCTTTTTAAACCAGGTGGAATTTGTACAGCCGTTGCTTGTACTAAGGACAATATTGTTGTTGCTAACGACTACTGCAAGCTCACTTACTTAACAATAACTGGAGAAACAGTTAAAAGTTTCAACACAACACACAGTCCATTAACAATGACGGGTAGTCAAGACGGGTTCATATACTGGACTACTTGGGACAATGATGAAGTACATTATATAGATCCGACGGGAACAGAGAGATTTTTTTTCGCTAGTCCCGATTTACAAGATCCTGTGGGAGTGTCAGTTGACAAAAAAGGAGATGTGTTCGTTATTGGACACAAATCGAATAACGTTCATAAAATTACACACGAAGGAAATACAGACAAGATTGTGTTGAAAGAAAGCAATGGATTAAAGATGCCATCTGGCATGGCAATAAGTCCAAAGAAATCTGAACTGATGATAATCAATGATAAGAAATCCATAAGCATCTTTAAAATACAGTAATTTTTCGCTTTTATATACAGATGCATATATCAAACTCATACAATAGCAGACGTAAATTAAAAAGAGGGATTACATTATTTTATTATCAGTACATATTCGACATATCAATCATCATGCAGTTATTTCAATTAGTGTCATAATAAATGTTCACATCTTTTGATCAAAGACCATGTTACTATTTGCTGTATTTTTTTATTTTCCAATTGTCTTTAGTCCTATTTGACATCTACATATGTATGACCAAGTTGTACGTTTACGATCAAATAATGAATACGGTATGATCAAGCTCTGCTGTACGTTAACGATCAAATGATGAATACGGTATGATCAAGAAATGAATACGGTAAGATCAAGATGTTACTTTACGATCAAATGATGAATACGGTATGATCAAGATGTACGTTTACAATCGAATAATGAATACGGTATGGTCAAGATGTACGTTTACGATCAAATAATGAATACGGTATGGTCAAGATGGTCGTTAACGATCAAATAATGAATACGGTATGGTCAAGATGTACGTTTACGATCAAATAATGAATACGGTATGGTCAAGATGTACGTTTACGATCAAATAATGAATACGGTATGATTAAGATGTACGTTTACGATCAAATAATGAATACGGTATGGTCAAGATGTACGTTTACGATCAAATATTTAATATACGATATGTTAAAGCTGTACGTTTACGTAATATTTGCGTAGAGCAAACGTTTAAGTGAGGAATTCGACAATATTGAAGAAAAAGTTTATGATTATAACAATAAGAGTACATGATGTATGAAACACAGCATTTTCTAGAAAAGGGTTGGTAGAAAATTTTATCCAAATTAATTAATATTGATGATCAACTTTAACCAATTAAAGAAAATACTTGACCGATTTCCAGAAGTGTTGCAACTAATTTTACGTTTTTATCCCCAAAACTTTTATCTTGTTCGGAAATCATCGCATACAGTCTTTTATTCTGCTATGTCCTCTGAATCGAACAATGAGTTACCGATTATTCAAAACATTGACTTGAAATGAATTAAACAGTTCAATCTTGCTTAAATTCCATGCAATGCGACACGCTGTTCAAAAACCAAAAATAGCGGCGAAATTTGTGACGAAAAGGTATTGATACAAATATATATTATGGAGTTGTGGTATGATTGAATTGGTAACGAAGATAAAATAACCTTTTCACCGTCGGTACTTGGTGAGGTGATAGCCAAAATGACCCACGAAGTTACCTAAATTTTTGAAAATTAAAAAGAAATAAAAAGAAAATCTTGAAAAAGAAATAATGGCTGAAAAAAGCATAATACAAGAAAGGTGCGAAGGTTTGGTCGTTATTGATAGTAAATCAAGAAAAGCGCTCTGGACGCACGAATTTTTTAAGTTGTTAATTTCATTCATAAAACATACAACGAAATATCGCAACAACTGTCTGAAAGGTTGTCAATATGTAGTAGGATGAAAATATTATATCATCATGTTTTATTAAATGGATTTCATCCTTACATTTTGTTCATAGATATAAGAAGATGTGGTATGAGTGCCAATGAGACACCTCTCCATCCAAGTCACAATTTGTAAAAGTAAACCATTATAGGTCAAAGTACGGCCTTCAACACGGATTTCGCTCCTGTGAATGTTTCTGAAGGAAAGGCTTAGGGTATTTAGTCAGTGCTGTAACCGCTATGTAAACTTCTTAGTGAGCAAGTCGTAGAAAGGTTATATGCCAGAAATTAGAACAAATTATGTCATTTTTGATCGACTTTAATTTTCAAGGTTTACTTATTTTTTAAATTAACATCTATTTTTTCATGATAAGTTGAATTTTCTGAAAGTTGAATTCAAGTTCAACATTACATTGTCTATAAAACTGAGAATGGAAATGGGGAATATGTCAAAGAGACAACAACCCGACCAAAGAGCAGATAACAGCCGAAGGCCACCAATGGGTCTTCAACGCAGCGAGAAAATCCCGCACCTGGAGGTGGTCCTCAGCTGGTCCCTAAATAAAATTGTGTACTGGTTCAGTGAAAATGGACGTCACACTAAACTCCAAAACATATAAAGGAACTAAAATTAAAAAAAAACATACAAGACTAACAAAGGCCAGCGGCTTCTGACTTGGGCCATTACTACTTTACCGGAATGCACAGAGATATTGTTCGTTGTTATATAGATTTCTATACATGTATGTTAAATTTTTCAATTTGTGTGGGGCCCTCTGTGGTCGTTTCGTCTTAAGAAAGAAACCAAATAGTTCAATTTCTGTATCACGTGTATCACTGGCCTGTCAACACTGATATTGTGAGTTCGAACTTTGCATGCGGCAGGTGCTTTCAACTCTATTCTTAGTTTACTAGGATTGTCAGTTTTCCTGCCAAAGGACGGTGGTTCTATCCGGCTTCCTCCACCCCCCAAAAAAACTTACCGCAACAAAATAGCCAATAGTGCTAAAAGTGGCATTAAACAAACAAGAAATAATTGATCAACCAATTTGTGCGAGTTTGGAAACTTGTCAATGAGCTAATGTTTTTAATAAGTGAATTTTCGAACTTTTTGTATCCTGCATTTTCAGAAAGTGATAGATTTAAGTTATTCTTATTTTTGGGGGTAGGGGTAAGGATTAGGATCCAGCTTCTACTTAAAAGTGTTGAGTTTCAGCAACTTATTAAAGTCGTTATAGCTAACTGAAGTACATTACATTCTTCTTGGGGGTTTTTAAATGACAAAGAATGATAGGCTCCATAATGTTTAAAATAAGGAATAAAAATATTAAAAAGCTCTCCGTGTGGCTTCTATATCAAAACTATCAATATAACGGTTCATTGTAATTAAATGGACCATAACGACCCATTATAAATTGGATTTTTTATTCAATATATACATCAATCTACACAGAAATATGTCGTTAACAGAGTTTATATTGATTTAAAAGTCAACCTAGCAATCCAGTAAACAGTCCTTTTATTTTGTAAATCTACAAATAGTGAAGCTGAAACAAGAAAGCATTAAAAAGATCAACTTGGACTTCTCTGTACTTATCACCGTGTAAACAGCGGTCCTACTAAAAAGCGCCCGGGAGCGCCCGGGGAAAAGATAAAACGCACGGGGAAGGAAAAATAGCGCCCGGGAGAATAAAATAATAATATTTTATAACAATAAATGTTTTCCTAATATAAATGGTGATATGCACGATGCTACATCTAAAGTGTGTAGATTGTGTTGTTGCACTTTTACATTTTAGATTTCAAAATTGTATATAGTAAGTAAGTAAGTATAAACAAGAGTATATAGAAGAATCATGAACGATATTGTCCTCGATCAAAACGTATACTTCGTTATTTAAAAATAATCAGTGCCTGAGGTCTAATATTCGCAACTGCATGGTGAACACTTTTCAAAGTTTTGTATTTTATTAAACACACTTGAATTGACGGTGGAAGATCGTGGAAGGGTTTCAACATGCCTGCCACTAAGAAAAGAAAAGTTAAACCCACTGCTAAAGATAAAGCTAATATGATATTCTGGCCTTGTGGAATATGTTGTAAAAACTGTAAAATTGCTAGCATCTGCTGCGACACTTGTGATACGTGGTACCATCTACGATGTGAAGAGCTGGAATTGGCAGACTTTGAGATGTTCCTCACAGACAAAAATGTGAATTATTCATGCAAAGGGTGTTTTTCCCATGACCAGTCAGATGAATACACATACACATCAGCTTTATTACGATTGGCAGAGGTGAGATTTGAAATATATTTTATAAATAATAGAGAGAAAATAATAAAACTTTTTGTTCAGGCAAAATGTACGCTTATGGAATTTCAATATTTCATTATTCTACCCCCGTTTTCATTTTTAACAATCATATATATGCTTAAAGTAATAAAGAATTGAAATGATATGTATATATATATATAATAAGCTAAGACTATTTAACAATCGTTAACTGTACACACGACACGCTGATTACGGTAATCCGATAAACCACAATCATTAATATACAAAACCATTTGTGTGTATTTCATATCTGGTAATATAATAAGATAAGACTAATTAACAATCGTTAACTGTACACACGACACGCTGATTACGGTAATCCGATTAACCACAATCGTTAATATTCAAAACCATTTGTGTGTATTTCATATCTGGTAATATAATAAGATAAGACTAATTATATACATGTAACAATCGTTAACTGTACACACGACACGCTGATTACGGTAATCCGATTAACCACAATCGTTAATATACAAAACCATTTGTGTGTATTTCATATCTGGTGTTTATAAAGAAATTGATTACTTTCAGGCTGGTGAAAAGGGATTTGATTACCTACGATTTTGCTGTAAAAGAATGAATACTTTATTCTCTTAAAAAACAATTGTTACAGAGAACATATACATATTAGCAATATACAAACTTATAGTGCATGTGTGAATTACATATACATGTATAAAGTAATACTAAAAAGTTCTAACCTGGAGGAACGACCTTCTCTTGGACGTTCTTAATAAATTTACACAGATTTTCTAATATAATTACATTGTTGGAAGAAAATAGCTGTTCAAACTTATAAATGTTAACATTTTCGTGACAAAAAGGGGGAAGCAGACTTTTTCTTGCATTATTAAAGTAGCTACATGACATAATATAGTGGTATTCGTCACCGATATCCATCGAGTCACAGAGAGGGCACACTCTTTCGCTTCTTGGCAAATTGCGCCATCTCCCGGTCTCGACTGGCAATCGGTGACTACCACATCTAAATTTACAAAGGATGTACATAAAGTAGGGTGATAACTCTAAGATATATTTTTCAAAACAAAAATGAGTTTTGTATAATCTATAGCATAATGCCTTAGGAGACTTGAACATTTCTGAATACCAAAATTGTATAAATTGATCCTTAAGTTTCTGTTCAACACACTTTGAAATCCATATTGACGAAAAAACAGTTTGGTTCTGCCAAATATTTGACATACCACAATCATCTAAAATATTCTTTATAAATTTTAACCACTTAGATTCATAACCATAATCTGTGTAGTAAACATGTAACAATTTATATAATATTGATGAAAATTTTGTTTCATTTCCTCTAACCAGTCTACACCAGAAATTTATCATTCGTATTTTTATTTGTAGTGATATAGGAAATATTCCTAG